CCCCCCCCCCCCCCCCCCCCCCCCTCCTTTTTTTTAAATGGCTATTAGAAGCCTCGCTTTAACCAGGTTGTGCACCTTAATAAACACCTCTCGTAACATTATCTTCCGCAAGACAAGGTAGTTTTTGTCTGCGCAGACTAGTTTTCAGATTGTACAATCGTATGTGATTCAAAAAAACCATAGACTATCTGTTCAAAGAAAATGTAAGAAAGACAGGAAAGTCGTATTACGGTAAAACTCCACCTTTGGTAGTGTAAATTCAAAAAGCGAATCACCAACAGTAGAAAGGGCTGACGTTAAAAAAGTTCCAACTTTACATTTCCTACTAGCAAAGATATATATATATATATATTCATTTATATATCTATATGGGAATTAGGGTTTGTAATATATAACCTAAAAAATCTCTACGCCTTCCTAATTCTTAATCTTTTTTTAAAATTTAATATGGTCTGACTTTTTACGCTAGCATATGATGTGTTGGAATGCGAGAAAGCTTATCAAAAATGCAGATAAAGGACCACAAAACAGAAAAAAACCATAATGGAAAAGTTTATCAAGCGCCGGTGAGAGATTGACGAAAATGAAAGTGTGAAATTGCGAGCCAGTAAGCAGAAAACGCCTAAATAAAAAGAATAGGAATAAAACTTTCCAGCCACTATCTAAGCGATGACAGCAACATAATAAAACATAAACATCAGCTCAAAGCAATCATAACCAACCTTCGGTAAGTTTGCTCCAGAAACAAATGGAAAATCATGATGTTCTACATGATATCCAACGTTGAATGTTACGAGATTAATAGGCCCATAGTAGCTGGAATAGATCCATGCAAATATAACGCGTTCTGGTCCATGACTGCTTAATTACCTGTAAGTCTCCTGTCCAGGTTTGAAGACGTAGTGTTCAGACACGAAATGTCCAGCTAGGGGATGCAAACCGAGGCCAATGACAAAACCTCCAAACAAGAATGCAAACGATTTCAGTCCGAAAACTGAGTAGATGAAGTAGTCAAAGGCCAGTTGCAACGCAACATTGGCAAGCTCCAGATCAGTAATCGACTAAAATTAAGGCACTAGAAAAGGAAGAATTCTTAAAACCTAAACCCCAAATTTCCAGAAAGTCCTGGATGGTTGCCACCATAAGGATAATGATCAGAAAACAATTGAACGCAATGCATTTAAGACCAACTTTGGGATAGATAACCAATGGCCGAATTCCGTAGAATACCGGCTGTA